TCTTTAGGGGTCCCTTTCAAATTTATGATACTATATTTCTGTATGTGTGAATCATATAGATCTATCTATTAGGCTTGGGTAACGACGGAAAAATTTGGCTCTAAACTCGTTTCGTTTTTAGGGGGGCCCTTGCATTTCGTTTTTTTTAAAAGAATTCCGAAATTTTCCTTTAAAAAAGTTCGAAATATACGAAATTTCGTAAAATTACGAATTGATTCGTTAATGGCGGACGTGATTGCGCAATATGCTAAAAAAACCTCCAAATGGGACAGGGGGAACTTCTGAAGCTTCCCTCTCCCCTGTTGTTGACTGTTGGTGTGATAATTTATTTTTTATCACTGATAAAACAAACAACAACTATAAAACTTGCACCAGACATACGGAAATAATTACGAAACAATTACGAAACAATTTCGAAACAATTTCGAAACAATTACGAAACAATTACGAAATAAATTGAAAAATTCATTTCGATTTTTAGTTGCTCCTGCATGGCTCAATATCGGATCATAAGCTAATTTAAATACGAATCAATAACAAATTACGAAATTAACGAACGAAACCGCCAAGCCCTACTATCTATCTATCTATCTATCTATCTATCTATCTATCTATCTATCTATCCTATGGCTGAAGGAGTTGGACTGCATGGCCTTAAGTATTCGGTGGTCATGGGGGTTCTGTGTGGGAGGTGTGGCCCAATTCTATCTGTGGTGGGGTTCAGAATGCTCTTTGATTGTAGGTGAACTATAAATCCCAGCAACTACAACTCCAAATGTCAAGATCTATTTTCCCCAATCTGTGTTCATATTTGGGCATATGGAATATTTGTGCAAGTTTGGTCCAGATCCATCATTGTTTGAGTCCACAGTGCTCTCTGGATGTAGGTGAACTACAACTCCAAACTCAAGGTCAATGCTCACCAAACTCTTCCTGTGTTTTCTGTTGGCCATGGTAGTCCTGTGTGCCAAGTTTGGTTCAATTTCATCGTTAGTGCAGTTCAGAATGCCCTTTGATTGTAGGTGAACTATAAATACCTGCAACTACAACTCCCAAATGACAAAATCAATTTTTTGAGTGATGGTCACTCATTGGGTTGTTCTGTCCTAATTTGGTGTCAATTCGTCCAGTAGTTTTTGAGTTATGTTAATCCCACAAATGAACATTACGTTTTTATTTATATAGATTGTTGATGCCATCAGGCTATAGCAGGTTGCTTTTGCCTGAACCCATTCTTTAAGGTAAGGGCCCCTGGTGGCGCAGTGGGTTAAAGCACTGAGCTGCTGAGCTTGTTGATCAAAAGGTCGCAGGTTCGATTCCAGGGAGCGGCGTGAGCTTCCGCTGTCAGCCCTAGCTTCTGCCAACCTAGCAGTTCGAAAATGCAAATGTGAGTAGATCAATAGGTACCGCTCCGGCGGGAAGGTAACGGCGCTCCATGCAGTCATGCCGGCCACATGACCTTGGAGGTGTCTACGGACAACGCTGGCTCTTCGGCTTAGAAATGGAGATGAGCACCATACCCCAGAGTCAGACATGACTGGACTTAATGTCAGGGGACTACCTTTACCTATTCTTTAAGGTATGATTCTGACTCCTCCTCTGCTTCCCATCTCACTGAGTTAACTGAAAAGAAACCACTTTTGCACTTTGAATCTACTTTGCAGCAATAATAATAATAATAATAATAATAATAATAATAATAATAATTTGTATACTGCCCTATCTACCCAAAGGGACTCAGGGCGGTTTCCAACATCCGATTGCTGGAACGGATTTTTTCGTTCTCCTAAAAGGGAGCTCTGGGGGCCATGCCAACCCTTGGGTCCGTAGTGAAGGTCGTGAAAAGTCTGTAGGAAGGTCGTGAAAAGTCTAAAGTCGATCTGACATATTTATGTAAATCTGTGGCCCTGCCAGATGGCACAATGGGTGTTATTGTCCACAATGGGTTTCCAAGTCCAGAGACAGTCTGGAGATGTAGTTTTGCAGATGAGATTGCACTCACAGTTTCGGTCTGGACCTTTATCCTGCGACTATCCAAGACCTCTCCAGGAAGATGCTTCAGGGCTGTGAACCAATGGCCTCTTGTTGGATTCTGAGCCAGTCTTTAAGGTTTATGACCCATCTCTGGTTGCATCTGGGGTATGGATGTGGTGTCTGGAAGAGTGCTCAAGGGGAGAAGTTACTGGAGGTCACAGTTTTGAGTTCATGAATGTTTGTCTTCATTTTATAGAAAGGAATAATAAAAGAATAATAAAAGCAATGAAAATAATAAAAATAGAAGAGAAACAGTCTTTGGGTGATGTTTAGTAAGAGAGGGGGAGAGCGATGGAGAGATATGAGAGAAGGGGGAAGAGTGGGGGCCTTGCCAAGGCTGAGTAGTGGTTATTTATTTATCGTGTCATCCGCAACCAGAACATTGTATTACATTTCTAACAGAACAAAACAAACAAACAGATAAAAAAAGCACAAACTTTGCAAACTTGGTAGCTGATTAAATGTCCTTTGACCAATATCTGGCCACTTGGAGTGCCTCTGGTGTTACCGCAAAAAGGTCCTCCATTGTACATGTGGCAAGGCTCAGGGTGCATTGCAGCAGGTGGTCAGTGGTTTGCTCTTCTCCACACTCGCATGTCGTGGATTCCACTTTGTAGCCCCATTTCTTCAGGTTGGCTCTGCATCTTGTGGTGCCAGAGCACAGTCTGTTCAGCGCCTTCCAAGTTGCCCAGTGTTCTGTGTGCCCAGGGGGGAGTCTCTCATCTGGTATCGCCCACGGATTGAGGTGCTGGGTTTGAGCCTGCCACTTTTGAACTTTCACTTGCTGAGGTGTTCCAGCAAGTGTCTCTGTAGATCTAAGAAAACTATTTCTTGATTTAAGTCGTTGACGTGCTGGCTGATACCCAAACAGGGGATGAGCTGGAGATGTCTCTGCCTTGGTCCTTTCACTATTGGCTGCTACTTCCCGGCGGATGTCAGGTGGTGCAATATCAGCTAAGCAGTGTAATTTCTCCAGTGGTGTAGGGCGCAGACACCCCGTGATAATGCGGCATGTCTCATTAAGAGCAACATCCACTGTTTTAGTGTGGTGAGATGTGTTCCACACTGGGCATGCATACTCAGCAGCAGAGTAGCACAGCGCAAGGGCAGATGTCTTCACTGTATCTGGTTGTGATCCCCAGGTTGTGCCAGTCAGCTTTCGTATGATATTGTTTCTAGCACCCACTTTTTGTTTGATGTTCAGGCAGTGCTTCTTGTAGGTCAGAGAACGGTCCAGAGTGACTCCCAGGTATTTGGGTGCGCTGCAATGCTCCAGTGGGATTCCTTCCCAGGTAATCCTCAGAGCTCGGGATGCTTGTCTGTTCCTGAGATAAAAAGCACATGTCTGTGTTTTAGATGGATTAGGGATCAGTTGGTTTTCCCTGAGTAGTAGTTGATGAAGTCATTTACAGTATTTTTTTTAACTTATTTGATTATGCATACGTTTGCAGAAGAAGGAAAAGTAACACAACAAAATCCAAAATACAGAAAACATCTATACCTTTATTGAGCCAACTAAAAAGCACAAAATACATCATGTGCAAGGACTGAAACCTCCTCTGGCTTCTTTATCAGTCAATATTGTTTTTCTCAGTTCTTGTGGGTTTTTTTCGGGCTATATGGCCATGTTCTAGAGGCATTTCTCCTGACGTTTCGCCTGCATCTATGGCAAGCTTCCTCAGAGGTCTGCTGGAGCTGGGAAAAAGGGGTTTATATATCTGTGGAATGACCAGGGTGAGACAAAAGGCTTTTGTAAGTTGGGCTAGGTGTGAATCTTTTCAACCGACCACCTTGATTAGCATACAATGGGCTGACAGTGCCTGGAGCAAACTCTTCTTGAAAGGTGATTAGATGTCCATGCCTGTTTTTCTCTCTGCTGTTTTAATTTTAGAATTTTTTAATACTGGTAGCAGATTTTGTTCATTTTCATGGTTTCTTCCTTTCTGTTGAAATTGTCCACATGCTTGTGGATTTCAATGGCTTCTCTGTGTAGTCTGACATGGTGGTTGTGAGAGTGGTCCAGCATTTGTGTTCTCAAATAAAATGCTGTGTCCAGGTTGGTTCATCAGGTGCTCTGCTATGGCTGATTTCTCTGGTTGAAGTAGTCTGCAGTGCCTTTCATGTTCCTTGATTCGTGTTTGGGCAATGCTGCGTTTGGTGGTCCCTATGTAGACTTGTCCACAGCTGCATGGTACACGGTAGACTTCTGCAGAAGTGAGAGGATCCCTCTTGTCCTTTGCTGAACGTAGCATTTGTTGGATTTTCTTGGTGGGTCTGTAGATAGTTTGTATGTTGTGTTTCCTCATCAGCTTCCCTATGCGGTCAGTGGTTCCCTTGATGTATGGCAGGAACACTTTTCCTCGGGGTGGATCTTCATCTTTCGTGGCTTGTTCTTGGTCTTGCAGCTCTTCTGATGTCTGAGGTGGAGTCTCCATTGGCCTGGAGAGCCCAGTTGAGGTGGTTCAGTTCATCTTGGAGGAGGTGGGGTTCGCAGATTCTTTTTGCACGGTCTGCCAAGGCTTTAATGGTGCTTCTTTTTTTACTTGGGTGATGGTTGGAGTTTTTATGTAGATATCTATCTGTGTGTGTGGGTTTTCTGTAAACGGTGTGACCCAATATTGTTTTTAAAAATGCATACAGAAAGAAATTGCTTAGAGTCAAAGACCTACATTTTGTATTAAGTGTTCTTGTGTTGTAAATTAGAATGGTTTGGAGGGATAATCAGTGCAGACAGAGGCCACTTCTCCCACTGCCATTTTTTTGGTCCTATGATTGACTGGGAAACAAAGACTAGTATGTTTGGATGTCTCCAAAAAGAAGTTAGATCATTACCTGCTGGGTATGCTCTAGCTGGCGTTCCTATTGAGAGAGTGGGGTTGGGATTTGATTGTCTATAGTTCCAACTCTGTGATTCTATGATGCAGGGAGGGAAAAATAACCTTTCTTCTGTTCTCCCCACTCTGCAGGAAATAATTTGAAGTCGGTACAGGATTGAAGTGATGCACCTAAGGAGAAATAACAACTCGGATTCGGGAAACAACTTCTAAAATTTCCAGAGGATTATACTGTTCCTTTTTACCGTCACGGTGAAATTGTGTGAAGAACGGATATATTGGGAGATACTCTGTTGCCAATAACCAAAAATGAAGGAGGACATCTGTTTACATGCTGCCCTGATCTGTTTTGGAATGCTCTGCTACAGCTTGGCCATGGTGACAGAGAAACGGAACCATTCAAGGCCATTGCTCCATGGTCACCATGAAAAAGGAAAGGAAGGTCAAGTTCTCCATCGTTCAAAGAGGGGATGGGTGTGGAACCAGTTCTTTGTAATAGAGGAATATACGGGGCCGGATCCTGTGCTAGTTGGCAGGGTAAGGTATTTGAATGATATATTTAACTCTTTAGGAAAATTATGTAACATGTTTTAATTATTATTTGTGGCACTTCTACTATAAGTGGGCTATGTATGATAATTCTGCAGTGCAACTCATCAAACCATGTTTCAGGAATACAAGTAGTCCTCAAGTTATGAACAAGATAGGTTCTGTAGATTTGTTCTTAAGTTGAATGTGTTTGTAAGTCAGGACTATGTAAGCCTTAGATAGCATAAGGAAAAGTTAATACCTCTGTGGTGCTTGCTTGCTGTCTGTGCCCCTGTTCAGGAGATTCCACTGTGATAACTGTATTTTGAAAAATGTAGCATACTGTGGGGAGTCCCCGATTGCGCAATGGGTAAAACACTGAGCTGCTGAACTTGCCGACAACAGGTTGGTGGTTTGAATCTGAGGAGTGGGGTGAGCTCCTGTTGTTAGCCCCAGCTTCTGCCAACCTAGCAGTTCAAAAAAATGAGAATAAATCAGTAGGTACTGCTCTAACTAGAAGGTAATGGTGCTCCATGCAGTCATGCCAGCCACATGACCTTGGAGCCATCTACAGACAATTCCAACTCTTCAGCTTAGAAATGGAGATGAACACCAACCCCCAACTCGCACATGACTAGACTTAATGTCAAGGAGAAACCTTTACCTTTACTTTTTTTTAGCATGCTGTGGAAACAAGGACTGGTGATAAAGCTTTAATTGAGATAACTTTTCCCCATGATTCAGGAGTGAATTTCTTTCCAAGAGTTAGATTTCTCCCACTTCCTGTTGTCCATGAGTCATTTTTAAGTCAGAAGATTGTAACTTGGGGACTGTCTGTATATCACTTTAGTTCCAGTAGAAGTGCAGAGGGGTAACATTTTATATTGTTAATGTTGAAAGCTGATTAGTATTATAAGTTTATCTGCATCACAGACCTCCCATTACTGTTGACTATCTAACTAGGCCGCCAGGTGTTGCAAGTACATCAACATCTTGAGAACCATACCTTGCCAGCGCATGACTGAGAAATTGTTTGCTATCACTATCTAGACATGAAACTTCAGGGATGGCAATATGTCAGTTACTCCGTCTGTGATTTTTTGAAATTAAAGGTAGAGAGTAAATTAAATCTATGTATGTCATTGAGACAATTGCCTTGGAGGAAAGGATGCACCCATTGTGACCCCCATATTTAGTTAGGGGATCGCAAATGGAATTGGGACCCAGATTTTAGAAGCTCTGTAATAGAGTTCAGTATAATGCACACAAGAGGAGAACACGTGGAGTATATCGAAGCATGTCATGCAGTGCTATCTTTACATTGTAGGTGCCAGGTCAGGACCGCTTTCATTTGTGTAGGGTCCATGGGAAGTGGCATGTAGCAGGTCAGAGTATTTGTCCTGAGATGCTCTTATCTTGTGAGCCTTGGATTTCATTTGTGCAGGGCCCATGGGAAATGGCATGTAGTAGGTCAAGACTATTTGTCCTTATAGGCTCTAATCTTGTGAGTCTTGGATTTGGTTGTGAATGAAAAGGATGATGGCAAAAATTGATTGATCCATTAATTCATTTGTAAATGAAGTAGAATCTGGTCTGGTTGGCTATATCTCCTTAGTGTTCTTACACAATTATCTTCTACCTACTCCCGGCTGTCTTCTATTTGATTGCTTTGAACTGGAAACACCAAGGACTAAGTCTGGATCTTCTTCATTCTACTGAGCTATCCAATCTCCCAACCAGTTGTTTTAAAAAAAATGAGCTCTGATACTGAGTATATGTCACCTCTGCCATCTAGCTGTTTTAAACTGCAGTTAAATGGTCCTAGTGCATTTCTTCTTTTTGTAATAATTGTATGACCTTAACAATATTTTGTGAAGACACTTCAGTAGCAATTTATGGGACACCACGTGAAAGCTTTGAAATAAAAAGGTCTGCTAGAATACATTTAATAAGTAAAATAGGATGTCATGTGGTGGCAAAAAAAAAAAGCCAATGGGATTTTGGCCTGCATCAATACGAGCATAGTGTCTAGATCTAGAGCAGTAATGCTAACCCTCTATATGCCTTGGTTAGACCGCACCTGGAATATTGTGTCCAATTCTGGGCACCACAATTCAAGAGAGATATTGACAAGCTGGAAGGTGTCCAGAGGAGGGCGATTCAATGATCAAAGGTCTGGAGAACAAGCCCTCTGAGGAGCGGCTTAAAGAGCTGGGCATGTTTAGCCTGAAGAAGAGAAGGCTGAGAGGGGATATGATAGCCATGTGAGAGGAAGTCACAGGGAGGAGGGCGCAAGCTTGTTTTCTGCTGCCTTGGAGACTAGGACGCAATGGAAAAATGGCTTCAAACTACAGGAAAGGAGATTCCATCTGAACATTAGGAAGAACTTCCTGACTGTGAGAGGTGTTCAGCAGTGGAACTCTCTGCCCCAGAGTGTGTTGGAGGCTCCTTCTTTGGAAGCTTTTAAACAGAGGCTAGATGGCCATCTGTCAGGGGTGCTTGGATGCAATATTCCTGCTTCTTGGCAGGGGGTTGGACTGGATGGCCCATGAGGTCTCTTCCAACTCTATGATTCAATCTAAAAATAGTGAGGAAATTTCCTTCCTTCCTTCGCAACCACAGATGAGGGGAATTTATCAGAAAATACATTATTATAGGCTAAACATTTCTGTCTACATTTTACTATGAAACAAGAGTGCTAAGAAACATTGTTAGTGAATTGAGAAGGTATGCAACAGACTACTAGCAAAAGCGTATTGTGTGCATTGGCAACAAATGCACATTGGTACCAATGTAATATGCATCAATGAAGTTGTGCTTCAGTTCCATTGTGCATCAGACCCTGATGTTATATAACGATACTGTAACATCAGCCTTCTACTAGATATGGGCATTGTACTCTTCAAAATCCCAATACCATGTATGTCCACCTAAGACAGTGGTTCTTAACCTGTGGGCCACCAATGTACCATGAGGATAAAAATCTGGTCTATAAACCTTCCTCTTTTTATTTATTTTGTTTTATTTATTTTATTTCTACCCCTTTGACACTGCCTGCCACTCCTGTTGCTGACCATGGCATATGTTCTGTATCAGAAACTAAAGCTGACATGGTCTATCCAATTTATTTATTTATTTATTTGTTGTGTCAGGACAACCAGTCAAATTCTAACAGAACAAAGCAAACAAACAGACAAAACACAAAATTTGTGAGTATGGTAGTTGATTAAATGTCCTTTGACCAGTATCTGGCCACTTGGAGTGCCTCTGGTGTTGCTGCCAGAAGGTCCTCCCTTGTGCCTGTGGCAGGGCTCAGGTTGCATTGCAGCAGGTGGTCAGTGGTTTGCTCTTCCCCACACTCGCATGTCAAGGATTCCACTTTGTAGCCCCATTTCTGAAGGTTGGCTCTGCATCTCATGGTGCCAGAGCGCAGTCTGTTCAGGGCCTTCCAAGTCGCCCAGTCCTCTGTGTGCCCAGGGGGGAGTCTCTCATTTGGTATCAGCCATTGGTTGAGGTTCTGGGTTTGAGCCTGCCACTTTTGGACTCTCGCTTGCTGAGGTGTTCCAGCGAGTGTTCTATCCAATGCAATTTTTTGAATCAGCACCCCAAATAATCAAACCAAAAATGGATTCATAACTCTTTTGGTACTAATGTTAGAGAGTGGTCCCTGGTCAAAGTGGTCCCTGGTCAAATAAAAAAAGGTTGGGAACCACTGTTCTAGAGAAATTTAATTTTCAGGAAATAAATATAAATAAACCGAATCTAAAGTCAACCAAAAACTGATTCAAAACTCTTGGTACTAATGTTGGAGAGAGGTCCCTGGTCAAGTAATTCCTGGTCAAAGTGGTCCCTGGTAAAAAAAGAAAAAGTTGGTAACCCCTGACCTAGGAAGATACAACATCCATACAGGATTCTAGCCTTCTGCTGATACTATTTTGTTATTTTGTTGCACTTTTGTGTTCTTTTTCACTCAAGGTGACCCCAATTTCTTCACAAAATTTGTTCAGGGTGGGGGGGGGGGTTACCTTTGCCATCCACTCAGGCAGAAAAAAAGCAACTGGCCCAAAGTCAACCAGTGAGTTTTCATTACTGAATGGAAATTCAAACCCAGGCTTTCATAGTCCTACCCAAAATCAAAACCAAAACATCACATTTAGAATGTTAAGATAGGTAAGAAGACTGCACTGATGTTTCTATTTTTTGCCCCCCCCCCCCTATTTTTTAAAAATTCTGTAGTTAAAAATAGTGAAAGTAACATACAAGAAAGCTTGTGTCCAGTTTATCTAAAGGACAATCTCCTTCTGCTTGAATCTTGAAGATGACCTTACTAAATGAAATTAAATAAATCACTATCTTAATGACAGGCTTCTAATATAATACAAGTTGTCTTGTATGAGAACGGAAGCTTGAACTATGACTAAAGCCGGATCCGTCACTATTTTTTTCACTACCTCTGAGGATGCTTGCCATAGATGCAGGCGAAACGTCAGGAGAAATGCCTCTAGAACATGGCCCTATAGCCTGAAAAAACCCACAAGAACCTATTTTTTTACGTTCTTTAAAAAATTTAAGTAAATGTAATATTACCTCCCCAAAGAAATCACTGTGTACCCACATTTTCCAAGTGCAGGCATTCTTCTTTTGGGCATTTTAGCTGTTTTTGTATACGTTGCCTATTTTTTCTTATGATTACTTATTAATATGTGCTGTGTTTCCTTTTTGTAATAGAAATGAGAGTAGCACAGTTTAAAACAAAATTTATGCTGATTTTAAATATGTCTTTATTTTTTCCTATCATGTCAATTTTTAAAAATATGACGAATAGTACATTGCAGTGTACTACTGTAAAGTCTGCACATTTCACATCATATTCGTGTAACACAAGCCAAAAAGTATTTTTAATCAGATATAATTTTAGGTCATTCTTCTAGAGATTTTTGCGCTGCATTCAGATCAGAGTTTATTTTTATTCTATTATGTGTAGTTTTGGCGTCTCAGGGAGTTGTGAG